AACAAATAACATCTTAGTGCCGGTGATAAGCGGGTTTGTTGTAGCAATACGGCTTTCCCGTGGACATCGCACACCCATACCGTTTGTGGGCGACGTCGTAGCGCATAGCGATGCGTCGTCTATCTTTCGGATTGGGATGATGAGTGTGTTTGGTAGTACTTTTAAGTGTAACAGGCATACTCAACTTCATGTCTTAGTGCATCAGCGCTGTGATACGTCGAGTTTTGTTCATTGGCGTCTTAGTAGTGTACTACTATGATACGTTGGTGATATTTTTTATATAACAATAATAAAAACTTTGTTACCAAAATCGATAGGGGCCATGTGTTAGTGTGTTGTGAGGGGGGCGCCATCCGTATGATAGTTGCATTGATGCTTACTGCTACTTGCGGTATTGCGTCTTGTCATGGATCTGCGGGTGTGCTGCGCCTGATTCGACGCATTCTTGTGGTTCTGGTCGATGGAGGTAAACAAATAACATCTTAGGGCCGGTGGTTAGCGGGTTTGTTGTAGCAATACGGCTTTCCCGTGGACATCACACACCCATACCGTTTGTGGTGCTGGTGCTGGTGATACTCAAGGTACCGCATGAGCCGGCATTTTATAATGGATTCCATTATTTTGGAGAGAAACGGAGGTGATGGCGATAGGCTTTTAGTTTGACGGATCTGAACGGTCGTCTTTTTTAGGGATTGGGTGGACGAAAGCCGTTTTCCATGATTTAGGGACTACACCTAGGAAGTAGGAGTACCGAAAAAACGCGTCAAAACCGGTGCTAACTCTGGAGCACACCTTCGCATCACAATTGGGAGGATTCCTTCAAGCCTAATCGACTTGTGAATGTCCAGGGAGAGGAGGGTTTTTCGAACCGAGTGCTATATTAACCGCACATCCGGCATGGAGCACTCACGCTGCGTGATGGCTGGCGGTGTGCTTCTTCCATCATCGAGATTCGAGATGGACACAAAAGAAGAGCCTAACAGATCTGCTTTCTCCTTTGCGGCATGGGCCAGTGAGTCGTCTGCCCTTTGCAGAGATGGAAGAGATGGCTGACAGAAATTCCCTTGGACAGCCTTTCCGAGAGACCTGAATGTACGGGTTCCAGAAGGAAGGTGAACTAGTTTCTCGCCAATGCTGCCTATGTGCTCTGACTTCGCGTTGGCAATGACTCTTTTGAGAACCTGGGGGCGGAATTATATTTCTTTTTTAGGGCGCTCTGGTGTTTACATCTCGTGGCGCTGATGCTTTAGCCTAGGCCCGTTAGCATTCCTGCTTAAAGCATGATGCTATTTTACAGGAATCACTAAACCATGGCTGATATCTGCCTCCGATGGGCACCACAGAGGAAGGAGTAAATTGTTCCATACCCTGAAGTACCAAATCAGCGACGAAATCAGCAACAACGTTGGCATCGTCCGGCGAGAAGCAAACCTGCCCTCAAGGGTAGGATGCAAAGAAAGACCGCATCCTATCCCAATCGGCTGACCTGTAGTGCCAAACATGGCGGCAGCCTGCAGAATGCAACCGCGATTTCAGAGTAAGTGGCACCAGAACTCCAGACAAGACAATAATCCGAGGATCCAAGAGGGATATTGACGCAGACCTGATATTTATCCAGATATCAGGTCAGAGAGTTCAGCAGAGGATCCAACAGGAAAGGTCCATGATCTTCCACATCTGGAATCCGTGTAGGCGAAGCAACCAATTGTGTTAGGCCATATGCCACGGAAAAATCCTAAACAAATCTCTTCACATGATCGGTTAAACGTGAACCAAGCCCTTTGGTGTGGTGAGCGTTAAAATCGCTGAGGATCACGATCTCTGCAGAGGGGACCTGCTGTAGAAACGAATCTGTAGCCATTAGGACGTAGTCGAAGAGTCGGTCTGTTTCGGCATTACTGCTATGGAACCTATTTGAGTTGGGCCTCCGGCCACCTGCAATCACCAGACAAAACGCGGATACAGACCTCTCACTTCACGCCGGTGTGAATTGGAAGCTAATGTCTCTGTGACGTCGTGCTACTGCCACGGTTCGCATCGGCCCATACGTGCAACAGCAAAAACTGCCGCGTCGCTCTACCACTGTTAATTTTGTTATTAGATAAACGCGATGCTATATTTTAAAAAGAGCAAAAATATATTTTTGCACTTATATGAATTATACTGATATGTCTTCGAACATCCATACAAATACTTATTAAATAGATCGTTTTCTCGACGAGATTTTTAATATTAATGAATTACGTATTGAATTTTTTTGGAAAAGGGTCACAGCAGGACTGCAAAAACTACCGCGGTATCAGCTTGCTTAGTATTGTGGGTAAACTGTATGCTAAGGTGTTAATTGAAAGAGTTATGAAAGAAACTGATGGAAAAATTTGGGATGTGCAAGCGGGTTTTAGAAAGGGAATGGGGTGTACAGATCAAGTCTTTTCCATGCGCATGATTGCGGAGAAGTTTTTGGCCCAAAACCAGAAAGTTTTTTGTGCGTTCATGGACTTGGAAAAGGCTTATGACAGAGTGGACAGGAATGTGTTATGGCAAACACTGAACTCATATGGGTTGAGCGCTGGGTTTGATACAGGCATTAAGGTCTCTTTATAGGGACTCTAGTGCTTGTGTCAGGATCAATGTGGTCTACTCGGACTGGTTTGGCATCCAAAAAGGTGTCAGACAGGGCTGTGTGGCTTCCCCTTGGCTGTTCAACCTATTTATGGACCGGTGTTTGCAAACTTTGAAAGATGAAGAATGTGGGTTAAGAATGGGCGAGTTAACCGTCAAATGCCTTTTGTATGCCGATGATCAAGTCATACTTGCGTCATCGGTGGCAGAGTTGCAAATGATGGTTACATTAATGAACTGGGAATTAAAAGAAAGGGGAATGAAAGTGAACGCAAGTAAGACGAAAGTGATGGTTTTTGAAAGAGAAGAAAGCAAAACGGTATGTGAAATAAGAATAGAAGGAGAGTTGATTGAGCAAGTGGATGAGTTTGTGTATTTGGGATGTGTATTTAGCAGGGATGGTAGATATGATAGGGATATAGAACGACGAGTAAATGCAGGGAATAGAGTGAATGGGGCACTACACTCTATTATGAAGAACCAGAATTTGTCAAAACAGGCACGTATGGTAATTCATAATGCTGTGTTATTCCCTACTTTAATGTATGGTAGTGAAAGCTGGGTGTGGCAGTAGAAGACGAAAGTAGAATAAATGCTGTAGAAATGCGGTCCTTAAGGAATATGCTAGGGTGTAATCTGAATGACAGGGTGAGAAATTGCGTGATAAGAGATAAATGTGGTATGCAAAATGATGTTGTGACCAGGATTAAGAAAGGAATGCTTCGGTGGTTTGGTCACGTAGAAAGAATGAATGAGGAAAGAGTGACAAAGCAAATTTATATGGCAGATGTGAATGGCCGAGTCGGGAAAGGGACGCCCTAGAAAAAAGTTTATCGACCAAATTGGCGATATTTTGAAAATGGTCCACGTTAGAAGTACCCTTAACCGACGAGCATGTATGCGTAGATATACGGATGTAAAGGAGGCGAAAGAGGTATGTCAGGATCGTGCCAAATGGAAGTCCGTAGTCTCTGCCTACCCCTCTGGGTGACAGGCGTGAGTGTTTATGTTTATTATGTATTGAATTTAAACAGACCTTAGATAACTTTAATTTGCATTTATTAAAAATAATTCCTATCGCTAAGTCTGACTAGAATAAGGATAAGTTGGCTTTTCTTCACAATATTCGCAGTCTTATACTTTAGTTTTTGTTTACACTACTCTGGACGTGGGGTCTCACAGGCTACTAGTATTCACACACACGTTTTGTATAAAAATGATACAAACGGTTCAAAATTATATCATTATAAAGATTATAGTATCATTTAATAAAACAACGTAAATATTTAATGAACTTTTACTACAAAAATTATAAAAAAAATGAAAAATCTAACATTATGGCACATTTTGTTTAAATTTACTAAGGTGTAACATTGACCACTTTTTTAACATTTTAACCTATTATCATAACAAAATAACTAATTTTTTCCTAAAACACATAAAATATTTAACTAAGAAACATCTGGTAAGAAATATGAAAAAAATTGGCAACAGTTGAATAGTAAGAATTTATTGGCAGTCAACGTACAAAGGACGGGAACATTGGAGGCATCCAGGTTTGCTGCACTCAATACAAATGTAGGTAGTCATTCTATGTTTTTTTGCAGGACAAATTCTACATGCGCTTCTAGTCCCTGGGTTCACTATTTTATCCTGGTTATCTACTGTAACCATATCCTTACCTAAAACTCTTGTCGTGGTAAACCTCCGCTCTCTTGGCAATTTTGTATTGATAACACGCCTTTGCATATGAGTCACTACAAGTGAACGCGCTAAACTTTTGAGGAAATCTCCTCTTTCAATTCGTTATACAAAATTTATGCATTCATTGCACTCAAATCTAGGACACGATATAATAATACCATAGGCCATCTTCTAGTTCGACGGCTACATGAATAAATAGAACATTTTTTGTCCACTTCATCGACACCCCCTTTGGTAGAATTATAAAACAAAGTAATTTCAGATTTTTGAGTGCTTTTATCAACTTGATCACTATTATTCATTGAAGATACAAGTATTACAGCTCTATTCTTCTTTGGTACAGGAACATAATGTTGTTTTGTTCGTAAATCCAAATAAGGTCGATTGTACTTCGCGATTCCTATTTGGTTGAAATTGTGTGGGTATTTCCTTTTTATCATTTTACTGTTCCCACGTAAGTTAGCTTTCGTTTTGATAATTCATCAACGAGCTATTTAGATGAAAACCAATTGTCAGCCGTGTCGTTTCGTTTGCTTCCATGGATAGGTTTTGTGAGACGTAACACACACTGAGTTGAAACTAAGAATTTTTTCACTTCTGTGGTCAATCCGATGCTGTCGGAGTCTTTTCCAGAATATACATACCATATTTACCAGGCTTTTTCATATATGATATCATGTGACTCCTTCCCCGAAATTTGCGAGAATTTCATCCACAGTAACACATTCGCTCAATTTATATAGTTGTTGAGAGTTACTCACGAACTTGTCGAAAATTGGCGATATAGCAGCCAGTTTGTCAGTCTTTATTCTTTCATTGCGATCATATGGATTATCGAATCGATGACATAAGAGCAAGATTAGAAATCTTGTTTCTGACCTTGCGCATCTAAATATTTCACAACCTGTGCCATCTGAAGCGAACAAATAATGTGAGTTTTCCTTGCTTGATTTCAAAACAGCTGTGTAAAATAGCAGTCTAATAAAAGCTTTCAGTTCAACCATGTCCAAATTATTCAATTCAGGTCTGTCCTGACGAGCAAACATCATTTTGTGTTTAGAAATCTTAGCATTTGTCCAAGTTAAAATTTGTTGGAGCATTTCTTCATCAAATATCTTATTCCAGATGTTGTAGTGGTCTTTCTCATCATTTGGCGTCAACTTAGATTAACCTACACGAGATGATATAATATTATGTTGTGGTGTACGTACTCTAAAAGAAGGTGATGTCTTTGCCCATTTGTATTTATTTTTCCCATAGAAATAGTTACATCTTAGTAAATCCGAAAGGGGAGCGTTGTCTGATCTATCACTGTCAGATTCATCTTCAGCGACTTCCTGATCCTGGATCATGTCTTGGCACTGCCTCTGATCTTCATCTTCATCACTATCATGGTAACGCATCAACTCCGACGCAGAAATCAAGAAATCTTCGATAGCTTCTTCATTATCAGAGCGATCTAAAGCTAACAAATTATACACTTCCTCCTCAAAAGATGGGTCCGTTACTTTCAATATTTTGTTTGCAGGGGCCTGTTGAAGAATTCTGGAATATTTTTGTCTATAAGAACAATGCGCTTCACTATTTTCTGCCATTTTGAACAACAAAAACTAAAATAAACAAAATTACTCTCATAAAATGTATTGTATGGTAACAATGAACCTGTAGCCTCACAGGCTCCGGTCAATATTTCGATGATTATTATTGACGTACTAAGCAAGGAAAGACGCGTTCTTCTCCTTCGACAGTCGTTTCGTAACTAAAACTATAGCTACTAAGCCGCTCAGTTGCGGGGAACGGGGGGGAAGTGTGTGAAACAACGAAAACTAAAACTGTGCGGAGTCTGTGAGACTCCACGTTCATACTTAAAGGTTAAGGTTGGATGTCGAATATAGGTCCATGCCCGATGATATCAGAAAAACTAATGACAAATACTCCATTAAAGAGATGGTCCGCGAACATTTAAGGAAACATTAGAATTACAGTTTTGTTAAGTAGTCATATTTATATATTTGTGTATATTATATACTTCTAAATGTTATTAATATTTTTTATTTGTGTTAATATAATACGTAAATATACGGATATACACAGGTTGTCCGATACGAAACGAATAACTCAGCAGGAAATAGTGAGGCAGAAAAAATAACACAATAAATAAAAAACAGCTGTCAAAAAATTACGTTTCATACTTTAATGAAATTTGATACCTACTTTCACGTTATTGAGTACTATGACTACAAATTTATCAATAACCAATTGATATTCTCTAGGAATAACCGTGAATGTTTGGCGTTGTCATTACGTATTACATTTTTTTTAGCTATTACTGTTTCTTTTCAACTTTAAAAAAATAAAAAAAATAGTTTTAGAATTTACAAGTACGAAGTTTGAGCGTCTGTGGTACAAAAAAACGAATGATGACCAGGGTGAGCGATAGCTTAAGAAACAAACATATTCTATTTGTTGTCAAATGACTGTAATCCAGTCTATAAAAAAACAATCGCAACAATACCAGAACTGCCATTAAAATCACGGCTATAAAAAGGTCGTCTATAAGAAGATGTAGTGCCTGTATTATAGAAGAGAGCAAACAATTTGAACATTTATTGTAACTAAAATGACCGATATGGAATTTTGGTTTAATTATTATTACACCCCAACCACTCCCAAAAAAAATCATTCCTACAGATTTCCGTAGCAAACGTCTTATTTTTTAATCTTTTTATTTAAAAAAAAAGAGTAGAGAAACAGGTAGCAATAACCTTAGTTATAATTTTATAATTGTTATTAGTTATAATTACTTATTATTTGATCAAAAAATTGAGTTTAATACCGTTTTAGAATTTGCATGAAGTACTGTTTTTAAAGCTACTGGCCGCACTAGTCACCATTCATTTCTTTATACCACAAGTGCTCAAACTTTTTCATTGTAAAATCGAAAATTCGTATTTCTATATAATTATTAAGAATTAAAAAAAAAACAGTTACAACTATAATGCGAATTGAAATGAATTAAAAAAATAACTAGAAAATATGTTTTGATGCCATATAGTACGGCGATAGAGAATCCAACTGCCAACCCATATATAATGGCTGTCAAGAAAGGTTGCTGAGGCAAATGAAATCGGAGGTAGGTTGCATCATATTCCTGATAACAACTCAAAATAATAAAACTCAGGTGCCAACCCTCTCACCAAGCGTGGTAATTATAGAAAATATAGGAAATCCATGAAGAGGCCTATGTTTACTAGTGGATGTTATTACGAAAGGCTGTGATGAATGAATGAATAGAAAAAATCATGCATTAGTGTAAGTTGAAATATGCGAAAAGCCTTTGAATTTAAGTGAAGGCCTTTCGATACAAACTTATTTTATTGAGCACTGTGTTTAACAATAATTATTCTTTTTCAAAATATGTCAATCATATCTGATTTCCTGCTGTTCCTGATAAGAGACAACGAAGGTTTCCATCACAAACGAACAACTGTAAAATTTCAATAGGGAAAAATTTTATGTCGTTCCAATAATATAGTTCTTTAAGTGATGATTATGATACAATTTTACTAGTGTAAAGTTGTGGAAACTAGCCAACAACACCCGCTAATTTAACACGTAAAAATGAAATATAGTAAAACTCGTTAAGAACTTGTTAAATATAGGACCGTATGTACAAAGTTTGTGTTCGGCCGCTCCAAGTTTACGATAATGGTCCATTATCGGTTGGAAATCTGTACTTTTCATCGAAATTCTCTTACGTTGGCACACGGTAGTAGTTTTTTTTAATAATAGGCTAAATGTTAGTAATTCTTAATAATAGTTTAATACCTTTTTTAAAATTAGAACTCTTTTATTTTATTAAATTATACTTATGTATTTGAAACAAATGTATTAAGACGACTACTAATCCCGCCGACAAACTGTTGCGCAGTTTGGTAGGTGTGAAAATGTACAAAAGGTTTGGTCCAGGATAAATTATTTATTTATTTATTATAATTTATAACAATTTGCTCTGATAGCTTTTTGCACCACTTCATGCTTGTAAGGGCTTTCAAGGAGTTCGTTTTTGTCGATACAGTTAACACAAATTTGTTTTTATTTATAAATATGCATGTAATAAAAATATTTAAATTATCATCTAGCTCTCCTTGTATTACCCAAAGCTAATTATATCCCATAATTATATATATATATATATATATATATATATATATATATATATATATATATATATATATATATATATAATCAATCCTTATGTAGTATTGGAAAACACACACATACATATGATTCACCCCGTCCTCCTCTTCAAAGTTGATGACTTTTTCAGATGAAATTTTTGATGATAAAGTTATCCTAATGAATAAAACTAATTTTACGAACTATATTTCGTTTAATTTATTTAAATAATATTTAATTCTAGAAATTTGGGTACTCCAGCGCCCACGGACCCGGGGGAGAGGCTGAAGTATTTGACGTCCCGATGTCATAGTTAGTCCTGGCTACCTTCAGCTTTATTACATCAGCTTTGATAGACCACAAAACCTCACAAAATAACACCAATTCTTACTGAGGATGATTCGCGAGGCTCTTGAAATTAAAAATCATCCTTATTTAATAGAGAAGATGGCTCTGTATTATGCTTGGAATACTAGCATTAATAAAATTATATCCAAAACCAAACTTATCACTGCAAGACTTCAAGATACTGATGACTCGTTCTGTGTAGATCGGACCAAAAATTAATATTCAAAAGTTGAAGGTAGCCTGAGCTAAATATATTACATTGGATCATCAAACACCGCAGCCCCTCCCCTCCCCTGTGACTAAAACGGCAGTAATTAAAAATAAATATTAGTATCAATATAAGAAATCAAATAATTAATATTTCTTATTTATCAAATCAATGTATTTCCACTGTTTTAATATCATCACCTTAATTAGAATTACTTATAACACCGAGCCCTCCTTATTAAGTCCAAGGACTTCGATGCTATGTTTAATATGTTTCAATCCAATACAAAAAGTAAATCAATCATAGTACTAATTTACACGTCACTAGATGTAAAGCTATTTAAAGATTTCTTTGCTTTTATTCACGAATATTTTAATTTTTTGAGTAGCAAAGATGCTTTTCAATTGTGTAAAAATTAAAGTGTTTTAAAAAGTTTGTTCATTCCAGTCACACACACATACCTACAGACATCTAAAGGGTAACAATATAAAAGCAAAATAACTCGTAAAAATAGGAGACAAAAAAGTAGTATAAAATACAAAAAGTATAAAATGTAAAAAATACTAATTTTTATTACTATTCAAAGCCAGTGCTCGAGTACTATTCGACCAGGTGGTAAGTGGTGATGCAATCGAACATGGTAAAGCGCACTGACGTTGCTTATAATAATGTTAAAAGATCATAATGTATCATGCTATTAACGAGATTTTTTTGTTTAGATAAAATTAAGTTGAATATTGTCAATCCAAAACTTAATGACCCAATTAAGCTACATTATGTGAAGTCATACCCTTTTACTTCCTGCATTTAACGTTATATTCACAACCAACATTTTTATTTTAATGGCGCTTAGTCACAGCATGAATGTTTGCATGTTGTTTTGTAAAATGGCTTAATTCCGTTCGATGGCTGACGATGATTCCATTGCGAACGATTATAAACAATATTCTGCAAACTAATGTATACTCATTTTAAATAGTTAAATTTCATTGAAATTGTGTTAAAGAAAAATTTCAGTCCTAATTTCAAAGATTTCTTCAAAATTATTAGTAATTTCGGAAATAATCCCTCCAAAAGTAAAAAAACAATGTGTCCCCCCCCCCCTCTAACTTTTGAACCATAAGTTTAGAAAATATGAAAAAATCTGAAAAGTAGAACTTTATAAGGACTTTCTAGAAAAATCATTTTGAACTTGGATGGAAACAACAGTACCCACTACCGGGAGCAGTTGCAGGAGCGCGGAGCGCTGCTGGAGCGCGAACATAATGGATACCCATCTTTAAACTCATAAGTGGGAACACTTATTGTGACGGACGGGAAACTACGGAACCCTACACTGAGCGTGGCTCGACACGCTCTTGGCCGGTTTTATTTAGAATAGGTATATAGTACGGTGTATACTATTACTGGACACGGTCCACGCACGTACGATTTATAATTTAAAGTAGCGGTTGTTGTCCTATCCTATCCTTTTCCGAAAAAAACTAAAAATAGAATTACTCACTTACATACCTTGTATATAATAATTGTGGTTACGGAAATAACGAAACTTTAATGCTAAAAGACAAATCTTCTTTTTCTATATCTTACAAAAATTTCGAATAGTCACTACGACTTTTCGAAATTTTTGTAAGAGTATAGTTATAATTGATTATAAATATTTACCTTCATGCCAAATTATAGGTCTCTGATAATTATGAATAGGGGAAATAGGGCAAGTTTATAGCGAAAAGATAAGTCTCCTTTTTTGCATATTCCGAAGTTATTTTAAAAAATCTCAAAAACAGTTATTAGGTATTATAATAACCTACTTGTATGTCAAATTTTAAGTCTCCTATAAGTTCAGTTATACAGAAATAAGGCGACTTTAAAGGAAAAAAAGTTCTTTTTTCCTGATCCCGTGGTGATTTTTAAAAATTCTTTTTTTCCAATTTCCCTTAATTCCTTGTCTACGAGTACGTAATAAAGAAAACCTCTCTGAGAAATTTCATCTTTCTGGGTCAAGAGTTTAAACTGCATAGATGAGTCAGTAGAAGATTAGAGTGAGTGAGTGAATTGGGACTTGAATTTTTATTAACTTCCCGCAAAGAAAATCAATGATGTTCAAAAAATGGGGAAGTTATTATTTTCACCCCGGGTTTTTAAAACATGATTCTGAATATTTTTACGATGAGGTACGTATATATATATATATATATATATATATATATATATATATATATGTGTGTGTGTGTGTGTGTGTGTGTGTGTGTGTGTGTGTGTGTGTTGATGTGTGTGTGTGTGTGTGTGTGTCGTGTGTGTGTGTAAATATGTACGTGTAAGCATTACATAAGTGTGATTGTCTGATCGAAACGCGGTTTTCGGCTTCTGAAAGAGCCTTACTGAACTTAGACTTTTTTGTGAATTTAGGCCGAATCGTCATGGTAGATTCAGAGAAAACCTCAAAAATTCGAGTATTTTTTAATTTTAAAAGGGTAATTGTCTTGGAATTACTTCGACATTCTTGTTTGTTGACCAATTCTGTAATCTATTCCGCTCATCCGTCAAAAAATGACGTCGATTACCGTGAACCGCATCAAAATCGGTTGATTTGTTCGAGATATATCGTTGACGAAAAAAAATCTACAAATAGTGTTTTTTTTTCAAAATAACTTGAAAACTTTCCGTGAAATCAATTTGTTTGTAGTTGGTTTTTGTTAAGCTGCTAACTGCGTTGATGGCCATATCATATCAAAATCGGTTGATTAGTGAGTGAAATATTCAATTTGGAAAAAAAATAAAAAACACAGTGCTCAATAAAAAAGACGAAAGTGGAATTCGGAGCGGTTTGATATTGAAATTAGAGGGAAGTTCTAGGGATGGCCTGCAGGGTGAACCAACTTTTTTATTGATTATTTACTTACATTATGAAAATATTTCCACTATTTTATTTATTGTTTAAATTTTATATTATAAAAACAGACATAAATATTAACACAACAGATGTATTTATTATGTGCATATATGTGATTTGTAGGCTGGGTACAACTGGCTATTTGGTATTATGTTTTCAACATTAAATCCAAACCCAAGCATACCGCTGCAAGGCCTCAAGATGAATAAGCTAATTTTGGGTAGATCGAATCATAATTAATAATTAAAAGTCCGGATTAACTTTGATATCAGATCATTGTCTACCAGTCTCAATTACTCAATAAAAATTTTATTTTTCAAAACATCTTGACTTAAAAATATTAAAATGCGACGTGATGAAATTCATAAAATTACTTTTATTTAAGGATCCGGACGGACTTAAATATCTCGTTTCAAACTGGAAGCTGTAAATCTAAGTTACATGTAGATATAAACAATATTTCTCATAAATATGTACTTTTCTACTTAATGCCACTTTGGAACGAAAGACTATCTAGAATTGATTGGTGCAAATTGTTATGGTTATTATTCATTACTTATTTGTTCGTTTGGAAGTAACTCAATGCTTTTGTTTAGCAAGAGCTAGCTTCATTTGCAACTATAAATGCGGTTTTGTTACTCACGGGTTGGCAACTGCAGTTAATTTAATTTTATCGTATTTTTATTTTTAGTCGTTATTAGGAAGAAGTTGCTGACCATCTCATGATTTGGTTCCTTCTGTCACCTTTTACGACACCCACGGGATGATATCGAGCCACTACATGTTAAATAGAACCGTAGTGCTTCGTTTTGTTTGGTGTGGTTTAGAAAAGGAGGCAATCCATCCCAGACTTTAAGGGTATTAACCCATCTACATTTTGATTCTTAATCGAGTGTGGATATGAGTTACAGCATCCATTAACCATTAGATAGACTGTGTGCTTGTTAGTCTTACTCTAATAAGTAAGTGGGTAAATAAGTTTTGTCATTCTTACTCTATTAAGTAGTTATTCTGGCTTTCTTTCCTTCAAACCAGAATGATACAACGAAAGAAAATGCTGTTTGGTGATAGAAATATGTAAGAGGATGATATGAACTCAGAAGAACTCTTCAGCAAAAGAGAACGCAGGACGTAAGTTACAGTGTGCTATATGATGACGACGTAAAAGAATGCCTCATTTCATCCCGCGGGTGTCGGAAGGACTGATCATGGATAATGACAGTAATATCTCATGGCTGGTAGCCACCGATGACTTGACTGGTGACAGCAAGCAGCCTCAATATTGCGAGTCATCTGGTAATGCGATGGATTCCCATAGAAGGTGATACATTCATTTCAACTACGTTATCAGACGTCAGTCAGACGTTAATTACATAGACCGACGGATATCACGTATATCCGTAGAATCATGATGCAGCTGTATTATGGTTGTAGCATGAATGGGTCGGCTCGACCAGGAAAGTACCACGTTCTCACAGAAAATAGCAACTTAATGCAATACATATCAATGTCTTGTAGAATGAGTGTAGAGAATCGGAGACCCTTTTACTGCACACGAAGTATTCCGTCTTAGTCCTCAGGGGTGACAACGCGTCTGAATCATTTTGATTCTTAATCGACGAAAAATTTAGATTCCAGGATCCATTTACCATCTGGTAGACTGTGTGTTATCTTTATTCTAAAAATATATAAATAAATATCAGACTACGAATAATACAGAGACGTGGAGTAAAGTCAAAGATCCACACTACGATAATAGAATCTCATGAGATTAATAAGAATAAAGCTTAGAGAGACCGCTTGGTCCCTGAGCTGCCATTAGTCTTTATAAAACACTATAACATCGCCATCATTACAGCCTACAAATACGTCCAAAACTGAACAAAGGCCTATTGATTGCCTCAAATCTAGGCTGTACCACCTGCGTCAATGTTTTACTATGTTTCATCAAGTGCTCACTCCATCTAGTGGGAACTCACCCAAAATAAGCTTGCCAGTAAAAATGGTTATCGAAAACTACATGTTAAAAAAATTAATATTGCATGCATTACATTATGATTTTTGTATCGAAATTCAGTTTCGATCCATAAAATTAACAATGTATTTAAAATGAACTTTTCCTCAATGTGTTTATCGTAGTGCCTTTGCTTCTAAATTTTAATGATAATAAATAAAGCAATATTTATTTATGGAAAATAGCGTCGGGAGCATAGAAAACGCAAATCCGTGTTCTCTCAATGATTTGTCTTCCGAACGTTCCAAATCTCTGGGTGCCTGGTAAATGTGCTACAAGCCCTATTTTCTGCCAACTCCTCTCTAAAAGCACAGGAATAAGTTTCCGAATTGTCTGTCTTGTATAAAGTATAGAATGATGCAAATATAAATCTCTGGCCTTCAAGACTAGTATCAGATGGCGGATTCAAGTGTCTCTTGCGATCTTTCTATGAAAATAATATTATATTACTGTCAATTTTGTTCTGTCTATTGTGCTTGCAGTGATATTATTTAATTTTTATTCCATTAGCAAAAATTTGCGATACAATAACATTGTATTATAATTTTGATTTTTCAGTCATTAAATTAAAAGTATTCATCATTATTTGCTGGCTCCGTGCCGCATTGGCTTAATATTAAGTTGTAGCGCTGAAAGCCGCGTATTCGAATCGTACACGAAAAAGTTCATTAAATCGTAGGGATCTTGCCTTTATAAATCAACATGCTGAGCAAGCGGAGGTCAATCGTGATGCAATATGTCTCGTACCATTGACGTTGCTATCACAGCCCGACTGAACGAAAATTATTTGTATGGCCGAAAGGTACTTTTTCCGGGTCTGGATGTTTGTTTATCCTTGTGCAATTTATGAATATAAACTGTCCTTAAAATACAGGAGAAAATCCTATCATTACATTTTTTTAATTATTTTATTGTATTTATTTGGTCGGAGGGATTGATCAGTTTGCCATCGCAGGGTGAAGCAGTAGAGCAGTAGATGGTATCTCCCGTGATGGAGTTGCCCACTTCTCAGGCCTCACCACTATTAACGGTAGCGAACCTTACATGTCATAGTGAGATAAGGATGATTTTCCCAAAAAAGATCTAGACCTCTAAAAGATAATAAGGCTTTGAAGAAATAGATTAAGCACTAAAATATACAGAAAATATTATTTTATATATATATATATATATATATATATATATATATATATATATATATATATATATATATAATCAGCGTTTCACGGTAAATGTTGATCCAGTGAGAAGTTAGAACAATTTTTGATCCAGCTATTTGACGTGTTTGCTCAGCTCCTCGTCGCACAAACTGATATACTTTGATCCATTCTTGATGCGCGTATGACGTCGGTGGATCTGCACTAACAGGATTTCAATATACTCGTCAGCGATTTGACCAACATTTGTTGATCTATCAACGGTCGAAAAAATCATACTGAATATGATTTTTTAGATCCAGAGTATATTTAATTTATATGCGACATTTACTTAGACTAAGTGGATCCGGAGCCATAATTGACGAATAGGTCTAGGTTACTCGAACACGAAGCGGCAACGTCGCGTTCTGTGTGTGACAGAGAACCCAGTAGGCTACTTCTTTATAGTATATAAGGTAAGAAAATACGTTATCTGCTGATTTTGTGGATCAAACTTTGGCAGGTTTTATTGTGGAAAGACTTTTGTTCGAGTTTTTGTTATCGTGTGAGTGAATTTGTGTTATTTTATTCATTTGTCATAGATCACTTAGAAGATGATGGATAGTACTTTATTACAAATTAATTTGTCACTCGAGTGTGTGTGTGTGTGTGTGTGTGTGTTGCGCGTGCGTGTGTGTGAGTGTATGTGTGCGTGTGTGCACTGTTATGTTTTTTTAGTACGTGTGTGTGTGTTAGTATGTGCGTGCGCGGGCGTGTGTGTATGTGTGTTTGTGTGTGTGTGTGTGTGTGTGTGTGTGTGTGTGTGTGTGTGTGTGTGTGTGTGTGTAAGTGTGTGCGTGCGTGCGTGTGTTAACTGTTGTGGGTGTGTGTGAGTGTGTGCGTGCGTGTGTTAACTGTTGTTCGTGTGTGTGTGTGTGTGTGTGTGTGTGTGTGTGTGTTTGGTTTGTGTGTGTGTGTGTGTGTGTGTGTGTGTGAGGAGCGCGCGTGTGTGTATGTATGTGCGCGCGAAGCGTATGTGTGTATGTGTGTGTGTGTGTGTGTGTGTGTGTGTGTGGTGTGCGTGTGTGTGTCTGTATTTATATGAGAGCGCGAAAGCGCTCGTGTGTGTATGCGCATGCGTGTGCATGCGTGTGGGTGTGTCTGCGTGCGTGTGTGTTCGTCTGAGTGCGTGTTTGTGTGTGTGTGTGTGTGTGCGCGCTCAGAAAACGGAGGCGGAGAATGGATACGTGGAGGTGTAGATGAATGCAGCGTAGTATGTGGTAAAGGCGGAGGAGAATAATTTGTGGTGAAGTCGGTGATAGTGGAAACGGGGAATTGTGTTGGAGGCGGAAAGAATAGTGACGGCGCGTGGTGGTGGCGGCGGAGGGAGCGGAGTTTATTGTTGAGGCGGATGGAGCAGAGTTTATGGTGGAGGCGGAGGTAGCGGAGGTGGAAAACGAAGGCTTAGAGAGGGGTGCGGTGGTAGATCTGGAGCGTAGGTGGCAGAGGTGGTGGTGGGTGCACTGGAGTGCAGTAAAGTCGGTACCGCGTGAGGGCAAGTGAGGCTCATATAAAGGACAGTTGGTTACAGCGAAAACAGTGTGGCTGGTAAGTGGATATCGATACTGCCCCTAAAGATGTTACTACGAGGTTATTCATTTTTCCGAATATCAGCTTGGATACCTATTGGTACTAGAGATAAAGTGAACAAAACTTTTGTTTTGTGACGGTTTCATCATAACTAACAAAACAAACCCAAACTCGGCATACCTAGTTCTACTAGTCCAGGTGTTACGGTGTTAGTTACCGAAGTACACCTTCAGGTCACTTCAGCAAGTCCGGAGCTAAGGACTGATCATAACTAACAAAACGAGCCCAAACTCAGCACGCCCAGTTTTACTAGTCCAAGAGTTCCACTAGTAATCCCGAATTACATTTTGAGGTCACTCCATCAAGACCGGAGGTAAGGTCTCATGATAATATCTCATGTAATAGTTCGATTCTATACCTATCAATTTTGTAAACGCGTCCTTAAAAATCTTTATTATGAAGATGTAGAAAACATGTTAACTGGTTTATGGTAAACACACACACACACACACACACACACACACAAACACGCAAGCGCGCGCAAACGTGCACACATGCGCACACGCACAAACCCATACACACACTCACACACGCACACTGCCGCGCCACGCACACACACAAGGTGCAACCCGCACACACCAACACACACACACACACACACACACGCACACACAAACACAACAGTGCACCCATGCACACACGCACACCCATTCACACACACACACACACACACACACACACACACACACAGTACACATACGCACACGCACATATATGCACACAAATACATACATACATACATACATACACACACACACACACACACACACACACACACACACATACACACATATACACAGACACACACACGCACGCAAACATGCACTCAGACGAATACTTTATGTCGCCGTTGCCACCACTTCCGCTACAAGAAGGGGCGTTGTCGAGTAATTCGTTAAAAAAAGTCGTTTATTTCGACCACAAGGATCATAGACGTTAGTAATAATACAAATCTTAAAACTAATTTTCGTAAAACTTTAAACTATTTACTTAACTTTAAAACTATATATAAGACATGCCTGATTAGTCAGCGCGTGCATCATATGTCAATGGTTCAGGTACTGACCTCAAACCTGTCAGAAAATGCCCTCAGGATACCATTGGAACTGGCCCGCACCCTGCGCACCAGGGATGTGCATCGTTTACGCATGGTGGTGTAGAAACAATCCACACGCGCATCCGCGAACATACCCGGCGCATTACAATAACGAGGTAGACCAAACAGCACCCTGAATGCATTACATAACACGCATTGAATCTGTAGCTTGTACCGCCAAAGATACGAAACGGCAACGTCGCTGCTGCATTCAGCCAATCCGATCGTTTATCTTATCGTTTGCTGTGCTCTGATTGGCTCATTTAAATCGGATCAACATTTTCCGTAACCATCGCAAGGTGGATTTGTATATCGGATCAACTTCGGCCAACGCTAGCAAACAGTCTCGTGAGTGCAGATATTGATCCGGTCGGAGCCACATTAGTTACCAGAGATGCATATTGGATCAACAAAAGGCGCCGGATCAACATGCGTTTTCGGATCAACAAAGTGCTCGTATATATATATATATATATATATATATATATATATATATATATATATATATATATATATAAAAAAAAATATTTGCTTATGTGTAGTTAAGTGCTTGTTTAAGTCTTATTTGGATGTGTAAGAAAATATAGTTAAGTTTTTGGTAAACAATACTGTGAAACTTATTGTGTTTGTATATTAATTATCTGTAAATATAATGAAATATAACCTGGTGGAATATTAAAGTTAAACTATTGAACTATTTTTATTGTTATATTTTATCGTACGAATTAATTTTATCAAGAGTTTTATCGCAGTTACTAAGCGTCTATCAGATTAACATCTAGTATTTGTATGGATTACAATAAATTGTTCCGGATATGTATGTTTGTCTATGTGCAATTCACACTATGTGCAAAATACATTTATCTATCTAAATGTATTTTGCATATAGTGAAAGGTGAGTCGTGTTGCTGTGCTGCAGTGCCTCACGGTGCTGAGCTAGTATGCCGTCGACTGCACGGTGAGTACAGTCTGCTGCCAGTGACCCGTATTGCTGTGATGTGCCCTACGGTACTGGGCCAGTGCACCGTCGACAGTGCGGTAAGTATAGTCAACTGCCAGTGAGTTGTATTGCTGTGTTGCAGTGCCCCACGGTAATGGGCCAGAGCGCCGTCAACTGCGCGGTGAGTATAGTCAGCTGATGGTGAGTCGTGTTACTGTACTGCATTACCCCACGGCACAGGGAAAGTGCACAGTTGTGTGCCTGGAGAGTATAGTCAGCTGACGGTGAGTCATGTTGCTGTGCTTCAGTGCCCCACGGTGCTGTGCCTGTGCGCCGTTGACTGCGCCATGAGTATATTCAGGGAAAGTGGATGTTATGTATTATGTCTATTTATATTGGGTTTTGTTTCCATATTGAATATAATGAAGGAGAATTGTAAATTAATTGATGTTAATTTATTTAAAAAAAAATGACGTAACATGCGAATTTACGTTCTGTTCAGGCACTTCTGCATCAAGAGCGTGTCACCTCTAAGAACAAAATTGGAATGTTTCACAATCTGTAACTACAGACTTAAGACCGGACCACTGCAGTGCAAGCACTGCTGTTCGGATGCAGAATTATTTAAGAGAGCGGTCTACGGACTTCTAAGAAGTAAAGAAGTCCTCCCACCTAGTATTGTTTAGCTTTGTTAGTTATAAGAAATGATCCAGAACTTATAATTTATTTACCATGGGTATAGCTCATCCGAATTGAGTTAGAAAATGCATTAACGAAATATTTAAAACTCATCCACAGTACTGAAAATGGCAGTCACGCTTCACTTACAGTTAAATTGAAATAAGATCCAATTCTAATTGTGTTAAAGCTCATATTTCAATTCAACGAAATCGTTAGCATCGGTTTGTGTTAAAATCTTTATTTTTCCGATTCGAAGGATTCGCATTTTTCACAATTACTTGGACGTTTTCACGTTAATCTGTCTTCTTTGTATCACTGTTCAATTTCATTTGTGAAACAAATTGCGCCAATGGCTTGCATTGATTTAAATACAATGTGAATGACCTGTGAATACTTTTTGAAATAATCAAAACAAATTAAAATGTAACAAAAATTCCAGCGTATAGAAGCTAAAGCTGTCCAGCTGCTGCCAGCTAAAACTATATAGCAATACTTTGGGAAATAATTCATGCCTATTCATTTTTTTATTGTTATGACTGAAAATAACAAGGTTTAAATAACTAACGGCAATATTTCATTTGCCCAATTTCAAATAGAAGTGGATTAATATAACTGTATTAATTTTGGGTTCGTTAACTGATTTCGCCTGCTGTTATGTAAATGCCCATATAAATTTCAACTAGACCCGATGACAATCGAAGAAGGCTTAAATTTTCATTTTAATAACCTAATTATCCCGTGACTGAGTAACATGAGCAAAGAAACTGACCAGATGGGAAGCTACGTAGACTTTCTGCGACTATACCCATACATAGCGCAGCAACGTGTGCTTGAGCTGATTATAAAATCGTATTAATTTCAGCAAACAAACAAAAGGTTCATCTTATTATCATCATTTGGATCAATATGTTCATTTGATATCCATATCGTGAAGGTGAATAAAAAACGTAGTCCGCAATTTCTGGGGTCAACCATATTGGATTTAGAGTGATGTCATTTTATTTTTCGTATTCTTTCCAACAAACACTTTCATACTTTTTATGGTAGTGTACATAAAATAACTAGTCCATCACCTTGGTCGGTCTGGATTATAATACTGTATGTACTGTATGTAATATATTGGATTTATAATTACGTCACTTAGCTAGGCCTACTTTTTAAACTTGGTTGCAAAATTTGACCCGAACAATTCGATCCCAAAATCGTAATCAGAAACTCCATCCAACATCTTGAATATTTTATTGCCAGCAGTAGACCCTATCTGACCCTTCTTGCTCTACAACACTTGTTCGAGTACCAGTAAACTATCCCTAATCTTTGCCGAATTATATATCTTTAAATTTGGTATGGCGGCTATTTTGGTTTCCGCCTTTTTCGCTATGGTTACATTAATCTCCATCATTAGATCAACTACATATCATAATAATATTTCATTGTCATATGAGACGTCCACCATATTGAATTGTTTTTTTTATATCCACCATCCACCTCCATTTGACATCCATATAATAGAGGTTACTATTGAAATTATAAATTGCCATTCTGTGACATCCGCCATATTTGATTTCGAATAACGTCACTTTACTTATTATGTTTTGCTCATCAAGCCCTTTCATTTGGTAAACATATCGTAGGGTTTACTATGAAAATTATAAATCTTCATTTTGAGACGTTCGCCATATTGGATTTAGAATAATTTCACTTTACTTATTGTTCTTTTGTTTATAAAGCCTTTGCATTAAGTTCTATATCATAGGGGTTGCTGTGGAAATGATATATATATCATAAATGTAAATGATAAATGAGATGAAAAGTGGCGGCATTTAAATAATCGTACATTGTCTTAAGAACCGAATTTGTGTGCCAAATTTTAGCCTGATAACTATATTGAAAATGGGTGAAATATAGATTGCAAAATTCAAGAATATTTGCAAGTGAAGTTAAATAAAATGTATTAAAAATACAATATTAACAGTTTTTGGTTTCCTTCATACTATAAAATAATAAAAAAATACCACCAAGTGAATTGTCTCGCGGAGAAAACAAGATTATGTTATTCATATTTTAGCTAAAAAATTGTAATAAAAATTGTTTACGATAATAATACCTAATTACTTAAGGCCTTAAGTCCGTAAATTACTAAATTATCACAAGGATAATACTTGGGACTAAAATTTAGCTTCAAACTTCTTTCATTTATACGTTACTTAGCCATTTCTTATATAATAAAGTATCATATGGAATTTTCTCCTAGTTTTGGCTAATAAAAACACTAATAACATCTTACGAAACTGCGTTATCGGTTCGTGCGCGCGTACATCATACTCGCAGTTTCAGCCCGTAAAGAAATTTGATCTAAATTTGATTTTATCAATTCGGATGCGCTTGCAAGTCCCCAGCTAGAGTTAACCCTGACTGTGAGGTCTGAAGAGTATTATAGGATAGCATGGGAACTAATCTACTCTTGACAATGCAGTGCACTCAGACGCTAGCTTACCATTACCATTATAGTACGTTAAAGTCCACTGCTGGAAATAGGCCTCCCCCACAAATCACCTCATGGGGCTAAATTTGCCATAGTTTGTTTTTTTACCTCTGTTGCCTCTTACGACACCCACGGGATGATATGGGGTAGTGGATATTCTTACACCGCCACCAGACGGTAGCTTAGTAAAATGTTGTTAATCTTTCCTTTGAATACACCTAAACTTTATTAAAACGGAGAGAAACCCTTGAAGTATGGGTTATCAATATGTATACAGTAGCCAGGTACTTTACCTCATCATTTATTATATTGTTAATCATATCGACTGACAGCAAAATTTGGTAACAAAAAGCACATAAACAATATCGCTTTTATAAAAATAAAAATAAAAACTATACACCGAAACGAATACATAACATAAGGCGAGGATTTTCCACGTTAAAAGGCTTTTAGCGCTCTCTTATCCGCTGCAGGCATATTTTTCCTGCACGAAGTAAGCGTGTGACATTCGGTAGACAAATAATACTTTAATTGAAACTTATAACCAAGTAATAAAGGTTCTAAATCTTGTACTCTCTATTCGTTATAGCTGATTCTGACGTTACTATGTAAGTGATAATAGCTTCAGTTATGACGTAACCCAATAAAAAACTTAGGAACTTAGTTTTCAATGACTAGATTAAAGCCATTAATTTACATTACTACCTATAAGAAGTCCACTGCTGAATAAAGACCTCCTACAAAAATTGTAACATAAGAAGAATAATTGCCATATTTACCACGTATAGGTGGGTTTCCAACCGCAGTTTTTTTATTATTTTTAGTTTTTATCTGAAAGGTGCTGCTGCCTATCTCAATCCCTCTGTCGCCTGTTTCGTCACCAGCGAAGTTAGGTTAGTGGATATTTTTACAACACCAAGAACATGAGGGCTACAAGTATTCATTAGTGCGGTAAAATACAACATTAAAAAATTAAATCGATGAACGAAAAATATTAATCGTTTCACTTTTATTTTCAGACAGGTTTTAGTATATTTTACCTGATGACTTTTATCTGATGATTTATAAATCTGCCTTAAACTTCATAAGAATTATTTCACTTTTTAAAAGCTCAAAATAAAATTTCTTTCCTTTCAAACAAGTATTTTGTATCCATTATATCAAAGATTATTTGTAAGAAAACTGACAAAAATAATATATTTGTAGTTTTTTCTGTGAACTAATCTGCGGGAAAATAGCGAAATAAGATTTACGACTATTGTTAGGAAATGGAAGATAATGGAGGTCTCTTAATCTGTCGTTACAAAAAAAAAATCTATACATTTTCGCATAAGTTGGATGTTTTATTAAAATACAAAATGAATTAACATTTGAACCTCTTTTTGGACAGAATATTTATTTTAAATCCATTATTATTAATAAATATTTTATTTACCCATTGTCACGGAGGCGACTAAGGTGTTTGACGTCCATGGTCTACCGTCAGAATATAATAACTTTTTTGTTCCGATACAACGCATAGTTAAGATAACGGTGTCTTGTAAGAGATAATACATTTCAAATGAAGCTTGTACACTCCTGCATCTTTTAGTGGGAGATTACGATTGACAGACTGACTAATCTTCTTCGGTGGCTAATAGTGTGTTCGTATGGAAGTCCGATTCAAAAAGTAGCGAATCTTGTCTTTTTTAAAGAAGGGGGGGGGGGCAAACGAGCATACGGTTCACTTTATGTTAAATGACTATTGCAACCCATGAACAACCGCAACACCAGGGGATTTTCAGGTGCGTTGCTGGCCCTTTAGAAAGGAAAAAATGAATAGAATCAAAGGCTTTGTTTGCTCTGACATATGACATATGTACAGCAGGCACACGCTCAACTGTGGCCAGTTTCACGAGATCACTGTGACGTAGGCGTATGACTCCAAGCTTG